CTCTTTCTCACGCCCCTCCTATCCTTTTAGCAGCTTTGCATGCCGAGTTGCATCTCTAGCTGTTCTTTTATTTGACGTCTTAATAGTTCATCGCTTGTAGCCATGTAGGGAATGTTAAATAAAGGTCTGATGTGTAATTTGTCGCTCCACAAACATTCCCGCTCCCGGCCTACCCTGGGAGTTAATGCAACAGATTTGTCATACACAAGTCAGGCACAGCTAGAGGAGGAGGAAAAACACCTATTCAATCTGCCTTTCAATCTCCATAGGGCTCTATGCAAATGGATGCAAGCTGATGCCTACCCTCTCTCAGGCGCCGTTTACACGAGGAGAAAACTGCTTGTATCTGCATAGTTTCGCGTGCGTATAGCCCTATTATTTACACGAGGCCGATAGAAACTGACCCCACAAACGATAACGGGTCCCAAGGTGGATAGATTTGCAAACGAAACGCTCTGGGGGGTCAACCGAGTCCGTGTAATCACCTCTATACGAATATTTCCTGAAAAAATAGCGATAGCCCCGCCTCTCCCCACCTCTCCTGCTCACTGCTGTAGCAACTATCAAAAATAGCTGTGTTAATTAAACGCACAAGGGGTTCTTGAATGAAATAATATTATAAAAGGCAAACCAGAATTGTTAACGCCCAATATACTCCTTAAACAAAATAAACAGAGTCAGATTTCATGCATTGATCCATTATATTGACAATTTTCCAGCCAAACAACACAAACAAAATTAAAAAGTCCGCTCTGCGATACACCAAACTTGTCTTTACTGCCTAATCCAGGCCATTATTGTTCATTGCTCCTGCGCCTGTTTGTAGGCAGAGGACCGGCGTGTCCCAGAGGAGCGATCTCACCCGGTGTTTGTAGAGAATATCTCTCTTTCTGAGCGCGTCCTCTCCACAGAGACGTGCTTCTTGGTCGGTCGATGCAATATCCACAGATTCGGTTTCTTTCAGTTAACTTCCCCGTGGCATTTATCCATATGCTGAGGAAATTACTATATCCCGCTGAATACCAGCAATCGCCACACACACTTCCTCCTGTCAGTAGCTACTGCTAGTGCTACTGCTACTGACCATGCTACAGATATTAGTGCAAAATCTACAGCTCCTCTACCACAACCATCAGCAACAAGTGGACATGGAGAATTACATGAACTACATGTTGCCAAATCCACCGCGGGGCTTAAACAGAAGGGTAGCCATGGCAACATTGCTGCGGGGCTGCTCCAGGCTGCTCTTCTTCGCTGCTTTTGGTGTATTTTGGCGGAAGTTACAGCGCCACTTACAGTCCCGGCATATGTACTACAGCGTTTCCAGCGGTCTTGTTTGAACAGACACGTTAAATGAAATGAATGCATGTGAACGGAAGACTTTTTTGAATACGCATACTGTGCATAAACGCAAACGTTCCCGTGTGAAGGAGGCCTGCCAGAACACATACAGATGACGAAGCCAGGCTGCATATGATTGTGTAGGCAGAAGCCCGGCATGTGGTACACAGAAGAGACCAATGGAAAGAGTAGGAAACTGGGAGAAGCTCATATTTCAGGAAAATATAAGTAGGCAAAGCTAAAACCAACCTAAATGCAGATATTTGCAGAAAGTAAAGAAGCTAAACATCCATTATGATCAGTTCCTCCAGGAAGCCCTCCCCCCTACCTACCCCTGTGTCTTATTGGTGTGCCCTTCAGCATAATGTGGATATGCAGCCTCACTGGGGCTTTTTAGGGAATTGATGGATAATCAGATGATTACACAGAAAATCTCCATTGAGGACAATCCTCCCTGACAAACAAAGAGAAAGCTCTTTAGTTAATAAATAGGCTGACAGACAGAGTGAAAGTGTGTGTGTGTGTGTGTGTGTGTGTGTGTGTGTGTGTGTGTGTGTGTGTGTGTGTGAGAGAGAGAGAAAGAGACAGAGAGAGAGAGTATATCCTGTCCTGCGTCTGCAGCACAATGCCAAATCTCTATCACATATTCATCCTGAAAATCTGTGTGGATGTGCGCGTGTGTGTCATACATTGCCAGAAACATCACTACCCGGGGATGTCATCGAGTTTGCCTTTAGCTTTATCTTAATTTGAGCGTATCTAAATACATTTCAAGCTCTAGGCATATTTGTATAAGCCTTTCTGACAAATTTGGCGGAAGTTTATTCTCATGATTTTCATATTTCTGAACTAGTTTTTCGAAAAAATAAGTTTGCAAGAAACTCAACTCAACACACACGCAGAGGAAAGACATTGATGCTGTCAATTTGAGAGATTAACTAACTTCACACACAAATCATTAACATGTGCTAAGTATATACTGTACAGTGTCGATAGAAATGAAGTCCCTTTTCTTAGTTTACAACACAAATCAGAACAAAACTGCTCAGACTATTTGTTCCATGTTATACACATTTTCTTATTTTATTTTGCTTTGGATAGTGATTAGTTCACTTCCGGGCATCAACCTTGTTGTTTTTAAATACGTTTTGCGGGAAATTAAAGTGTTTCCTCAGTCACAGGTTTTTTTAAATAATGCAGTAAGGTTCTGTTTTCAGGATTTCTCTAATGCATTCATTTTACTCTCCACCATCCAGGGCCTTCTGCAGTGAAGCTTAACCACAGTATGATGCTGCCAGCAACATGCTTCCTGCTGGGGATTTGTGTTTATGTGTGGTGATACAGCAGATACTGCATTAATAATAGCAGTCCATAGGGTAAACATGTATTTAAAAGGCACTGCACATCTTCCCCTCTGTCTCTCACACACATAGCATTTGTTGTATTTGTATGAATAAAATAAAGGAGAAAAAAGAGCAAATTGATAGGGAAGGAATCCACATAAACAAATCTGACTTAAACTTGGATATCTTTGTTCATTATTCTAAAATGAAAGTTTATGTTACGAGTACAGTAGGAGCAGATTCTCCAGATATGAGTCATGCGTTGTGTTTTTATCTGCAGACCATTTACTCTCAATAAGTTGTAATAACCACAGCATGACAGAGGGTGACATACAGCTCATGCTAATGAATTGACACACATTACATAACCAGATCCCATACATTATTTTCAATTTAACATGCCTCTTCATATGGATGAGTCCAGCACTGTTTAACTCTGCTCATTGGCAAAGGATGATAATTGAGGGATGTCCAGACGAGAGAGAAGGGAACAGGGAAAGGTTTGGATTATGATGTAGCTAAAAAAGACCTTGGTTTGGCTAGGTAGTGTGCCCACAGCAGTAGTCTGTCCTGGATGGAGCATGGTGGTTCTCTACTTGAACTCTAACATGTACAGGAGTTCTGCACTGGCTGGCATAGTCCTGTTAGCTATAGATGCTAGCGCAGGGCTACGATTGCCAAGCTCCACTGCACTGCCAGCCTTGGCTTTGGCATTGGAAAAGGTTCTGGAGGCTGCACTGTTGAGCAAGTTTATGGCATTGGTAGTTCTCCAAATGAGAAGGAAAAACAAATATAAAACTACTGGCAGCCAGAACCAGATGCTCTGGCATAAGATAGACGTGTTATTTCCTTATAGTAATGTCTGAACCTGCTTGGTAAAAAAAGAGTCATCATTCCAGCTACGTTATATCGGAGCACCAAAGCAATGGATAGCTTTAGAGAAAACCTTTTTTAATACACTACCTAAACAATTACTGACAAGATGCAAGCATGCTTTGCCAACAAACCGTGCCAATTATTATATCTTTAGAAATTACTATTGAAAAGTACTACACGTCATTACACAATACAGGAATCTACAAGGTAACTGCTCTTTATTCTGCAACACTGCGTTGTGGGGGGGGATATCGTATTGCTGTCCACAAACATGAGCCAGGATCAACTGTTCTGCTGGTTACCTCTACAATTTTATGCCAGAAACCTCCTTACAAAAAAAAGAGCCCCTCATTCATTAGATGAAATTCTTGTAAGGGCTTGTTGACACAGTCTGAAATGTTAGTTTTAATACATTTTAGTTATTGGTACCTTATTAAAATGTCCCGACTTGAGAGTGATTGCTTTTCCGCATATTTTGTGACTGATTTTTTAACTCAATTGATTATGCCAGTTGATTTTTCTTTAGGCAGATCATTCTCAACGCATCATTTGGCTGCATTGCAATTACAACAGGCAGCTGGATAAAAACAATGTAGCTTGTTGCTTTAGTTCAAGACCTGTGCTGTTAAACATGTAATGTCAACATGTAATGTAATATGTATTAATATACATTGTGAGTGTAGACGTATTCAATTAATACAGAATTAACCATCACCCTTCATGAACTGGCATGAATTTCAGTAATCATCGATCCTTGTCATTTGTCATGTAACTTGTGATCTGACTTGCCAAGAAAGGTCAAGGTGAACGTCCGTACTTGGATCAATAACCAATCAATCAATCATAATACATTTTAATCTCCACGGTTGAAATCTGCAAAATTATAAACGTCAAGAACACAGGGTTGTTAAAGTATTATTATATAAACACAATGTGAATATTACCTTCATAAGACAGAATACAAAACACAGTGTGTTGCAATGTAGTGCAAGATAATGTGTGCTTTTAAAAAAGTAGTAAACTACATTTGAAAGATGAATTGGTCAGAAATAATAAGTTGAAAATAATCATTTAATGGGGATGTCAGAGCAGTGACATATTCTTCAAAACACTTTTTTGACATTCTCTTTCAATCAGGCAACCAGTAATTTTGTATTCAATTATTTCAAGCAATACTTAACTGCTTGCCAATCAATCACATATAAACAACACAAATGACTTTGTGAGTTTTAACTTTCTAAAAGAAAAACTGAATTGTGAGAAAAAAGGTGTCTCCTATAATTCATTAAAATGGTGCTTATGTTTGCCTGATAAACGACAGCCATTGTCTTTGATTGATCTCTTGCACCATTTGACTCTGTATTGATTTAGCAGATGGCTCTCTGTAAAGGGCTTGAAGATGCATGAGTTGACAGGCAAAGAAGAATGAACGATCTCTACCTCCATTGACTTCCAGCAGCCTCCTCTTCTTCTGCTGTCTCTCTTGCTTCTCACGCTCAGCTTTCTCCTTCGCTGCACGTGCTCTCCTCTGCTTCTCCTCCGTTTCTCTCCGCTTCAGGTTATCCTTTAGAGCTTGCTGTGGGGAGAGGGAGGAAGTAAGATGAGCAAAGACAGAAATAAAGAAAAAACAAGACCAATTGCTAACTGGGGTTAATTACAGTAGTATAGAGCCTGTCAAAGGCAGAGGCAGAGGCAGCTGTCAAACACTAAAGACATCATTATCAGGCACCATTAAGTCAGATGAAGCTTCCAAGGTGGATATCAGCCTGGTCTTGCCAGAAACAAAACGACTTGACGAAGATGAATTCAGACACCAGAAAAACAGAGGGTCTGCGAGGTGAGCCACCTGGGCGCCATGTGTTTTCGGTTGTCACTTTTAACTCTTCATCCCCGTTTAAAATGTACAGCGTCTTTTCAGTTTTTTGGCCATAATCTTTCCTCATGTAATGTATTTTTGATGACCCAATGATTGGGGAGTTTTTAGCATTGCATGTTATTTATTGTTTAAATTCAATTATTGAGACTGAAAGAGCGAGCAGTATATGTTGCTATAAGGCAGGGGTTTTCAAAGTGTGGGAAGGTGAGCCTCCCCTCAGAGAACATAAGAACAGCCGCGCCCCCCCTCCCAATTATTATTGCTATTATTATTATTATTATTATTGTTGTTGCTATAATGCAGGGGTATTCAATTGCATTTCAAAGAGGTCCAGTTAGAGAAAATGTCATTAAATGCTCTGTTTTCGCGTTCTACCTTTCTCTTTTTGAGCACGCCATTTGAAATTACTCACCGACTGCACCGATTTGATTGGCTGAGTAGCGTCACCTCCTTAAAACATTAAACAATAACTTTTTTAAACCTTTTTATCTTTATGTTTTAAACATTTTTAACATTTTCAACATCGTGGATAAATACTTATATGCTCCCGGCAACACACTGAACGTCAACCTTGCCTCCTTATTACACTCACCCCTACTTTAGTGGGAACGATGAGTCTGCGTCTTTGATGCGCATAAGCGGATGATGCGGGGATCAGAGTCCTGCATCGGGTCGGGTACCCGACGGGTGACCCGCAAAAAAAGTGATTCGCGGGTAGTATTTAAAAAAAAAATCCAGGTTCGGTTCTGGGTAAAACAAAGAAGATGCGGGTCAGGTCGGGGGTGTTGCATAATAAATATATTTAAATAATAATAATTTAATTGAATGTTTAAAGATTCCTCAGACCTCTCCCCCGCGGGACAGCGCATAATCATAACATCTGCACCGCATCAGTCTGCTGCTGAGCGTGCCACATTCAAAATGGCTGAGGTGAAGTTCTCTAGTGGAGAATACAGCAATGTAAATAACTCTTCCTCAAGAGCAAAATCCAACGTCTGGGAGGCTTTTGGTGTCATCCTACTGTAGATGGAGAAAATAACCAACATTCCACGCTTGTTGAGCCAAATACGCAACTGCTCATATGATATGCGGGTTCGGATCGGTTTGCGGATCTTGTGCCGACGGGTCGGGTCGGTTTGCGGAACTAATTGGCAATATGTGCGGGTGGCGGGGCGGGTTCGGTATTTCCTCATGAAATATGACCCCCGGTTTGATGATTGACAGGTCACAGAACAATGGGAGCTATCTACCCTACCCACAATTTAAAGTAGGCCTAATTCACACAGACTATCTCCTCTTTACTCTTCTCTCTGTGTGGAGCAGCAAGTTCAGCTGTCAGAACAAAGTGACAAACAAACAATGGCATACAATATTATTAATATGTCGGGTAGTAATAGATTTATTTATTTTCTTCTCAGAGTGTACCAGAATGAGTAGTTTATATGTTAGTATCTCTAAAAATCTCCTGAGGGAGAATCCCCCCAGACCCCCTTCTGGGGTTGGGTTTTCAGCATGTGTGCCTTTTTATGTTACACAGTTCACCTTTGATTCCATCATCTCATTAAACCTTATTTTAAAGTATTCTTCAGTTCTGTGAAGGGATATATGCACTGTACTTCACTTTAATTAATATTGTATGCTGAAAAGTGTATATATTACAGCACGATTTTTTGTTGAATAGATTTGAGTGGTTCAAATTTCGGGTCGCGATTTATTGACAAAGGAAAAAGTGGATCCCGAGGCCTGACCAGTTGAGAACCACTGATCGACAATACATCAAACACTGTGGGTACAGTCTCTATAATCTCTTTGCTGCAGGGTTGTTAAACTCATACCATAGTGTCGATAGCTCAATAATGCCACAGCCAAGAGACAAACTGCATATGGTTTAATAGAGTGCTAGCATGATTGCCATCCTGATCAATAGCCAGTCACTTAAATAAAAGGAGTCTGGGCTTTTATCAAACACCCAACTCCTCCCCCTCGTCTCCCCTCCTCTTGCTTTATTCACACACCCCAGCTTGACAGGCAGGTCAGTAGGAGAATAGTAATGCCACCAACATTAATGGATCCCAATAAATACACACTCACTACAAAAATAAACTGTGTAGTACTTGAAAAAAGACAGTGGCACGATAAAGACAGGCAGTAACTTACTGAGCCCCACTGAAAGACGGTTATTAAGTCTGCGTACAAGTGACCAGAGGACTCTCTTTTACCCGCCACTGTAGGAGACTGATGTAAATAATGTACGATTTGGTAATTGTGCAATTTAGCACCCCTGCAGAGTGCAATTCCCTTATGCACTTCAGTCATAAATATGTATAGATGTACACATGCATTTCTTATGATATTGCTTATGATCTGAAACTAGTTGAAAACTTTGATTACAGCCAAACATCAAGCAAGTGCAACAACACAAGACAAAGTAAGCCTGCAAATGCAACTAACCGGCTATATTGCCTGCCCTAGCTAACTAGCGGTAGCAGCTAAAGTTAGAAGCAGGTATTGGTTAGTTACTTTAGCTTTCTGTCCATTAGGAAACAATAACAAGGAGTCAAAACCAGAAGACTTTTTCACCAAATAAAGCAAGTTGCTTATAGTCTATACCTCCTGACATTAACACAGGCACCACTCCCCCTATTACAAGTCAGTATAGCATCATACTTATTAAGCTGTTATGTCAAGGTTAAAACAGTTACATACTGTTTTTCTTCAACCCAGAAAATAGCTGGTCACCTTAGTTGAATAACTAACGCCAAGCCAATTGAAATATGGAGATATGAAAACTCAAATGAACAATAGGTGTTTAACAGTATACTATTTTCACAGTATCCCGTATCCTCTTTGTTCATGTAAAGCTGCTTAATAAGGAGTCAAAATCCCTCCTATGCTCCATGTTTGCTATCAAATGCTGCACATCCGCACGCTGTGACCTTGATCTTTTACTGGAGAGAATATTCTGTTCTTATTCATGCAGACCACAGTGACATTTCATTTTGTTGGCAGCTTACCATACATATATGATGAAGTTATGAATCAAAATGTAACCAGAGGGGACCATACACATTGAGTAATTAGATCAGAGAAGTAATCAGGCACCATCATTTGAGGATTATATTTGTTTGTACACAGTTTTGGGCTAATATATCAAGTAGAAGTTGAGATATTGCACTGAAAAAGTACAACTTCTTTCACGCTGGTGGCGCATGATAAAATGTCAATGGACGACCAAAAGTCATAAGGATAAGTCCTTTAGGGGCTTTATATATTTCATCAAGTTTCATGCCAATCCAATCAATAGACAGCCAATGTCAAACTAATGGCAGAGTTAGAGGAAAAGTCAGGGCACCAGAGTCAGTCAAGTTCAACACATTGAGACCATGATGACTATCTGCAGAAAATGTCATTACAATCCAAGTCAAAGTTTGAGTTAATTCAGTCTGGTCTGCAATGGCAGACTGTCTGACCGACAAACCCATGGACATTTCCATGCCAAGTTCAATACTATCAAAGCTAAAAAAAAAAGGAATGGCAGGTGGTTTCCATGATATAGCTATGCAGATACACTGAAGAGCTCTGTAGAGGCAAAGAGTACATCTCATTTAAAACCCGACCCTTTACTGCTGCCAGCAGCGGGAAAACAATGATGAGTCAATAACGGGTCAATACAACAAGTGGGCCTGTTTAAGAGAGGATCACTCTTAAACTACACAAAGACAATAGAACAGTAAATTACATCCAAACATCGCTGTTAAAACCAAACAAAAGGGCCATTCTATCTTCTTAAATGACACAACCAACTAACAATATTAGACTGATCAAAGACAAAAGTAGTCAGCATGGACATAACTGATTATAAAACTGTTGATTAAAGCCGAGGTAAGGCTGGTGTTTGTTATAAATCTGAATTATTAATCTAAAATATACGTATCCATCATTTCCAACATTGAAGGCAATCCTTTTTCTACTGAAAATAATAAACTAGACATTTTGATACTGACAGTGAAAAGTCTAAAACTACAAAAAGAAGAAGAGTCATGTGATCTTTGCCTTATGACAAAGCATCCATTTTCACTGTAATGTAGAACTGAAGGATGGAAAGAGAGAGAGAACCAGCTATCTGAGGAAATTGCCCTCCACTCTCCTTCATCACTACAGGTCTGCTTCCCCCCTCCTCCTCTCCTGGATGTCCGCCATTAGACACGCTCAATTGGATTCCTGTCAGATGTGCGGCCTCGCCCTGGGTCTCCTTCCTACGGGTGACTGAGCATGCTGTACGTACGTGTGTGTGTGTGTGTGTGTGTGTGTGTGTGTGTGTGTGTGTGTGTGTGTGTGTGTGTGTGTGTGTGTGTGTGTGTGTGTGTGTGTGTGTGTGTGTGTGTGTGTGTGTGTGTGTGTGTGTGTGTGTGTGTGTGTGTGTGTAATGTATACACAGGTGTGTGTCCGTATTTGTGAGTGAAAAAGCAAAGCAGCTCTCCCTATAAAAATTTCTAACAGAAAATGACAAATGCACACAAACAAACATACACACACACACACATGCGCAAACACACACATGCACAAACACATGCGCACGCACGCACGCACACACACGCGCAGTTCAAGGCTTAGTTTGCCTCAGGCAGTGGTCTATAGACAGCACACACCTATTAGCGTGGGCCTTGGCACAGCAAGGTAAATGCTGACACAGATTTGACCGAGAGGTCACGGAGCGGAGATTTATTGCATGACTACGCTCATTGACCTAGCCTTGGCTTCTCCCAAGATATGTCTGTCTGAAGTGACCATTTGAACGAATTGCTGACCTATCGCAGTGAAATAAATAGCTACCTTTGGAGTTTTGAACATATAATGCTATACTTTATAACACTTGGATTGTTCACCTTTCACTGGCCCAGTCATTAACAGTTATGTTTGGGCGGAACATAAACACTACAGCAGAACTCAAGCCTAAACTGTGGAGCTGAAACAAAAAGGGATTAGAGCTGCAAAATGAGTCAATATTCTGCCAATCGCATATCAACTAGATTATTCTCATTAATATAAACTGGCATTAAACAAATGCATGAAACATATTGAGTTTGGTAACATTCACTCTCGGTCTGATTCATCTCGGAACACAACCAGTGATTAACTGTGTTTTGGCTACTAGTGAGGAAAATAATCACCCCAGAGAAGTCATGGGATGAGTAGAATAGGGAAAAAAATATGAAACAAAGGAACAGCTTGGCTTAAGGGAAAGCATCTGGGAACCTTTGTTGTGTGATTGCCTCTGTTTCTTCGAGCCTGTGAAGATTGTGTAGATAGATACTATAGTGACTTTAGCCTCAGGTATGATACAGTATATCATTATATGTGACAACTAAGTGTTAGTATGTGAATTTGATCAAAAAATAATGGGAGAGGGACTGAATGATGAGACATTTCCAGCCTTCTGTGGCCATAACAATAGACAACTAAAATGATGATCCAAATACCTTTTGAAATTACATTTTAAAATAATAATAATGATCTCATTTGTCAAATATATTTGAGAATTTGGCAAACTCATAACACAAGTTGTGCAGTTTATTGTAAAGCTTCACAGCTGTAGCTTTGAGTAAAGTTGCTCATGTAAAAGTTTGACTCTGTTAATGTGGTTTTCTTTTGGGTAGCAGTTGGCTTTATCATGGGACATTATCATTTTTACCAGTGGATCATGTCGGGAAAGCCTAAAAAAATACTGATCTTCTAAAGAATGATAATTATTTTAGTGGTTAGGCATCTGGTCTGAAAAGTGGCTATCGTCAGATCCACTGTAGAGAATAAATGTTGTACAGTATGCATACAATGTCTGCATTAGGCGCACAACAACCACCACAACAACCACCCTAGCTGAACAAATCTAATGTACAGTTGTCTCTATAGTTTTGCACTACAATAAATGTGAAAGCATAACTGGTGAAAAAGAGGCATGAAATCCATTTGTGTGTGAGGTACATGTTAAGTGGGGGGCAGGGCGGGGACTTTAGTAGGCTAATTAGCTACTATTATCTGTAGCACCCAGTGGCCTGTGCCACTAATCCTGCTGATTAAACACAGTGGGTCTCCACAGCTCCGCAGCTCTCAGTAGCCAGACTGATAAGGCCACAGAGCCCAGGGATGACATAAATGTCTGGCTGAGACTGGACTACAGAGGACTGGCACAGTTCTGCTTCGCTTTATACCACATGGGTCTGATATAAGAATCACAAAAAGACGTTGAGGTTTGGTCTTTACCAGCCAATAAGTAAAAATAGTATTAAAATAGTTTAAAATCAAACATGTTCATAATTCTATTATGGTTCAAGGTTATATAATGTCACTGCTGATACATAGGAAGTAAAGCAGAATAACCCAAAGTATTTTTTGATCACGTTTGTAAATGGTATTTTGCAACACCGGTCCACATGAATTGCCACTCCAAGATCTTTTAAAAAGTGTAGTTGTTTTTAAGTAAATTGCCTACACATTAACACATTCATGTAAACATCACTAGCAACACATGATTAACGCTGAATTAAGCACATTCTTTCTGTATTCGTGCACTGCCAATCCCACTGGAATCAACTCAACAACGATAACCCAGCAAAATTCAATCCAATGTGAACATAAACAGTAATATGTTAATATTCCCTTCCACACAACATGTTCAGAAAACAATTTTGAATGCTTTTACTATACAGTAGGTCAATCTGCGGCACAGTATACTCACAGTGAACATGGCACGGAAGTTGCTGAGATCAGTGAACAGCTCCTCCACAGAGGTCTTCTTGGGATCAATGGCAAAGTACTCCAGCATGTTGTGATACAGCGTCTCCATGTTGCCGTGCATTATCACCAGCTTGTCATACTGCTCCCTGGCAACCTTTCCGAAGCTGTGGATGTTGTGGTCAAGGTCACATCTATGTCACAATAATTGTTAAATAAATGTTCGAGAAAATAAACTATTCCCGATTTAACTGCATAACATGTAAAAAAACAAAAAAACAAACAGAAAGTATTTACATTTTAAGCCGGGAGGCATCATTTCAGAAGTGAACTGTGATGTTGGCGTGAGGATCTCTGATACTGTCAGTCAGGTTAATACTACAGTGTGTTGACTGCTATGACCCCTGCAGCCTACAGCATCTCCTTTATATCTGGCTGCAAATTGTGATGGTTTATTTGACATACACAATACTAAATTCAAATAAAATGGATACAGATAGATCTACTGTAGCAAGATATCACTCATTTTGAGATTGTCTGTACAATATATGTGCCCAAACTGAATAGTAAAAAAACATAGCAAAAGGAAAAATAGTTCTGCTTTGGAGGTACATTTGAGTTTGTGTGTGGACGAGGACCAAAAAGTAAAGTTGTGTCAACGTGAACTGCAGGAGAGTTGTCAGTGTCAAACCAAAGTGTTTGGGAAAGGATGAGCGTGAATACACATCCAGAGCCATACTTTGAAGAAAGTCTATTATAAGTCACAATGTACACAAATATAGTAAACATGAATTTGCTTCAGATGGTACATTATTAGCTCTTTTCCAAAGCATACCCTGAGCTGGTCTTTTAACATAATCACCCTGTTTAATAAAAAACGAAGCGTTTGATGCATGCGAAAATTCAATCTGGGTTGGAATAAGTTTGATTCATGCTGCTTCTTTAAAAATGTCTTGGTAACTCTCTTTGCAAATCAATGAAAAAAGAAAATGTGTCCCTAACCAGCAGTCCTGCTAATAACCCCAACAACCTTGTGTCGTGGCAGATAAGAAGCAAAAGTGTTTCTGTGTGTGTGGTTTGGCAATTACGTGGGCAGCCTCTTTGCCTCCTATTGAGCACCTTTATTACAGCTCAATTGATGGAGCCATTTGACGTCTGGCCTCAGTTGAATCTGGCTGGGGAGGGGACTACCTATTCACAGCTGGGTAAATGCAGTTCAATAGGCAGTGCTCCCAGATTGACTTGTCAGTAATATCGTTTCAAGCCAGGGGCTCAGAGAAAGAGGCATGAGGAAAGCCTGAGCAGGTGATGGAAAGCAAGAGAGGAAGAAAAGAAGAAATAGCCAAGAGCCACAGTTGATAAGTATCATGGGGTGCAAAATGTCTCACCTCCCTCCTGTTCCCGCTCTCGACTTTTTCCCTATTCCAGAGAAATCAGTGGTCAACTACAGCTCCCTTTCAAGAATTTCTGTTCAATCTTGCTTTGTTACTGATCCTTCACTGTTACCCATCTCCCCTGCCCATCTATGCCATCATATTTCCCTCTCCCTTTCTTCATTTGCTCATTCTCCCTCAGTTTCTCTCATGCTCCAATATGACACCTTTACAATCTTAGCTCACAAATATTACACAAGACCAATGACACAGTAACTGTACACTCGAGTGGAGCTTGAAGCGATAATGGAATTCTCAATGTTTCCAAATTGACAGTCCAGGCTTCTCATGAGTTGCTGTGACTTGGATGCGGGTTGGAGTAAGGAGTGTTGCAAACATTAGTAATCAGCTGCAGGTGAAGCCACTATAGTTTACAATGTGATTATTTTTAAGATACTTTTTTTAGGATAAGCAGGAACTGAAAGAATACAACGGGAAATGTCCTTTCCTTTGATATAGTACTTACAGCTAAACAAATACAAATCTGCAGAGTAATTTTCCGTTATGGTCAGAATACGTTAATATGAGATTAAAGACAGTTTTTCATGTCAAATTTCACTTAAGAGCACCTTCATACAAACTGGGCTTGCCAATATGGATTTAAAAACTTTTTTTGCAAACAAAAGCCTATTGCAGAATTGTGTTTAAGCCTATAATCAAATGAAAACACCAAAAGTCACCTTGACACATTCACTTTCACACACACTCGTCAGGGCTTTACTGTGTCACCATAACATATGTGATCAGGATGTCTTTCTGCTCAGATGTCATATTCACACCAAGGCCATCCATTTGCAAACATCAAGCTGAACACTGTCCCCAGGTTTTTTTCAAAATTGAATATTAAAGTAAGATTTCAGATTTCATTTGCAAATTTGATGGAGTTTTTAATCACTACTGCTAGAATAAGACATTTTGTGAAAGGCACCTGGAAGTAGAAAGAAAAGCAGTGAAAGAGAGCTGTCAAATCCATTCTCAGTGAACCTTTCTGTGTTGCACTCAAGTTCTCTGCTAACTACTGCAGCACAAGCCATCAGTGCCCCAGCCCCAAGGCTATCGATCAAAACTACATGAAGGAGATACAGGGTGTATTATTGAACACACACTTACACACCAGGTATGAGACAGGCCTGTCAACCTGATCCATCTCAAAGGAAAGTAAATAATTAACACTGGTGCCAAAGAAATATGGACAGCTGTCAACAACGAAACCTAAGAGAAATTGTGTATTTACTCGTTTGTTAATTAGGGAATGTGTTTAACAATCAACTGACAATTGAATAAAACATTAAATGTCTTTTGTTTTGTCTCTAGGAAAATACAGCAACGACTGATGTAGTGAACGAGAAAGAGAGTGACAGAAAGACGAAGGATGCTCTCCTCCGTCCCAGTTCTCCTCTCAGTGTAGTACCCTTCAAGAGAGCTGATAGGGGTACTGGTATAAAAACTTGACTATGGAATGGGATGCCACTCATGACACTCTTCACTTCATCAACAGTGAACAACATGTGCATATGGGATCAGAGTGCGGGAGGACCACCTTGCCTCTATTTATGTATTGTATATGATTTATTGTTCTAACAGTTAAAATAGATATCTCTACTGTTTATTTTATTGAGAGATTCTCAATGGGTTGTGAACAGTCCTGCTGTTTACACAGTTTTGAAAAGGTTTTATTTTGAGGGAGATTGGTAGAGTCACGGCTTATCCACTTTTCATTACAACATTCGGAAATTGCAGTAGTGGTAGGGAGGCCAGGTTCAAGGTAATGGGAACACAGCATATTTCATTATGTAAAAGGTAACGGAAATAAGTTTAACTAAATGATTAGCCAAAGACCTGCACACCACAAATGCAGTTATGTGGTGAGTTTAAAAAACGTATTTGCCAACCTATGGAGCACCACAGTGTTAAATATAAACATTCAAACTCCAATCCCCAAAACATTTTTATATTGTTCTATGTCTTTCTTTTTTTTTTTAATTCATTACAGTTAACTCATGAATAATGCCCCGAACTGGTGTGTGAACGCATGCGTGTGAAAAGGATATAGCCATTTTAGTGAAGAACATGTCGTTGGGGTCATCGGGGGAGGAGAAAGTCTCCAGGTCTCTCTCCAGCTGCAGCAGCTGCCTCTCCATCTGCCTGAGGCTCTTTTCCAGATTCTCTGCAGACACTGACACACACACACACACACGTATAGCAAGACACACACACACGCACATTCATAACAGCACACACCCACATGTCAAGGAAATGTGAAGAAAGAAGCAGAGAGACAACAACTCAATTACAGGTAAAATAAAGAGCATTATTATTTTGAGGCTCTGAAAGAATCAGAGAAAAACAACATACAGAAAAAAAGAACTGGGAAAGAGCGAGAGGCGCCAGCGCAATTGCAAAGCATGGTTATTGTGGGTTCACACAGTGCCAGCAACACCTTGGGAATAAACAATATCTGAGGAAATAATAAACATCAAGTGACGGTACGTTCAATACCTATCTCTTTGTTATTATTTCCTCCAATATGCTCATGCTTTATGTGTAGCCAATTAAATAAATACAATAATAATATGCCCTTCTTGACTTACATCTTGCAGTGAATGCAAATACCTGCCATGTTTGCTTACATGTTTTTGAAGTAGGCTGTTGAACAAGAAATATTTCTCTGTCCTTCATCTTTTGTCTTTAGAATTATTAACAGGTGCCTTGATCATGCAGGTGGGAGAGCAGGGGAACACTGAGCCTAACTTTCTGTTAAGTTGGTCATGGCTGACACGTTAAGCTAGTCACTGAATATAGCATATGGCTTAAATTACCCTGATTAGACCCTGCTTAACAAAAAGGCATAAGCTGCTTATTTTTAAGTAGTTTCAAATGTCCCTTGATTCTAATACATGCTTTACGAAAAGAAAAAAAAATAGAAAACTTCAATGAAGCTAAGCTCCTGACTGAATTTATAGCATAAAACCCATTTACTGATGGGAACAAACTGTCTGGGGCAAACACACACCCACTTCTTCGTTATGACATCTTTACTACAAACAATCTAGTAAAGAAAATCTGCAATAGCTGTAGATTCTCATAAAAATAAGTTTTGTGTAGTGAGAGTATACTGTCTTTTCAGTGAAGCTGAAGGTGAGCTTGTGAATGTATGTACAAACCCACACAAGTCATTCAGCTGGCTGAGAGGAAAAGGCAGATGGCACTTTTCATGAAGCTGTCGCAGTCGTGATTGAGAAAAAAGACACAGCAATAACAACTTCTTCATACTGTAAAACATTTACTACAGTCCATATACTGCGTCTCTACCTGACAAATGGTTATCACTTCAGTTTTCTCTACTCACTGCACGTTTTACTTTGTCCCCAAAGTCCTATTGTTACCCTTTCTGCTCTCCTTCTCTGTCTTTCAGCACTGGCATTAATAGTTAACAGTCAGGCGAAGGCAAAGGAAATGCCATAGCACACTGTTCCTTAAAAAAAACCTATCCCAGAGGACATTGGAACCAGTGATGTCTCAACCAGAGCAGTATCCAGAAAGTAACTGCACTGCCAGGACTGGCTGTTGGATTGAGTTTTATTTTTGGTAAGAAGTTTAGGTGAAAATAAATGTGAAGAATCTTTAAGTAGGGGTCAGTAGGAATGTCCAGTCAGATGAAGACTGATTTGTCTTCAAGGAACACCATTCTTACTGCCATTATAGACATAGAATAATGTTGTGGATCTGATAACAAATAAATAAAAATGATTGAACAATCAATGAATGTTAAAATAAACCTTGGCCTTTATCAACTTACTATAAATAACTTAACAAATAACTTTATCTTTTGTTTAACCCTTATATTTGTACCTTTGATGGTAATTGGTTAAAATGGACAACTAAATTGTGTCTTGAATAGTTGTAATAAACACTAGACTACAGTTGGAGCAGCAGATGTTTTGCAGACTGAAATCTAGACCAACAAAAATAAAATTGCTTATATTTCACCAAAGATTAACAAGTTGATTCAGTTCTTTGACAGATGCACTTTCAGGGTATATGCAGGAATCCTGAAGTCAAATGTAATACCTTTTAAGACCTTTTTTAAGACCCTATCCATACATTTTAAGACCTCATCGCCACTTTGAGTTCTAACCGGTTACATTGGCGACACACTTTACCTCACATTTACTATATACAGTATTGATTGTCCTTCCTCCTTATCTTCCAACCATTTGGACGCAAACTTGCATTTCCCCATAACGATGTTGTTTAACAACCGGCGTAAACGGACCTTCGCGCGCTATCAAGCAGTGAGCGTATGATGTCCTGTTCAGATGAGGTCAAATCCAACGGGATGCCATAAATAAACTACACAGAATCACACTACACACCTTCGCAATGATTACATTCAGGCAAACTGTAGAATACAACCTCTTTGGACAATTTATATACTTATTGAAAACAAGCTACAAAATGTAATACCTTGGAAAATGCCGTTTAATACTTTTTAATACTTTTTAATAGCCTTAATATTCGCTAAAATGATTTATCAACTTGTAATACTTTTTAAGACCCCGCGGACACCCTGACTTTGCTCTGAATACAAATCATAATTTTGTATTTAATTGATCAGGTTTACCGAATTATATGTTCTTCAAAATAATAATATTTTTAAAACAAAATGTCACTGCAGAGGGATTTACATTTTGTTAACAGTGGAGCCATCATTTGTTGTGATAGGTGCATTTATTAAGAGAGCTCTTATGTGACTATATGAGAAACTACTCTAAGCTGCCATTATGGCCACGTATGTTTCTTGTTGAAGAGATAATTCATCCCAAAAGATTGCCTGGCTAAATAATGCTTATAAATAAAAATGTCTTTATGAGACCACATTAGCAACCACTTAATTATGATTCATACTTTACAATAATGTACTGCATGACATTTACTGTAAGGACAAGGGAGCTGTTTAAAGAAATGAAATGTCCTGCCTTTTAATGAACCGGATACTACAATCAAGTCAGTCACACATTAGCAGCACTCAAAACACCTCAGTAAACCTTTCTACTAGTAACGTAATAGTAACATGTCGGCCAGAGAGACATTGCTGTGGATTTGGAGATACATTTCTGTATAACTTGTATAAGATTGTTAGTTCTGTATCAGAAAACCAAACGGAAATCTGCTGTCTAGACCAGGGGTTCCCAAACCTTTCAGCCCGCGACCCCCAAAATAACAGTGCCAGAGACTGGCGAACCCTGTCAACTGGGGGGGGGTCTCGATCCCCTTCTGGCCCGGGCTTTAAGGTTATCGCCTCTTGAGAGAAATGATTTGGATTCTGTCAACACTCTTTAAAACCATAAATCTTTGACTAAATCATTAATTATTTCCTTATATCTGACCAATGCCCAGTCAAATTAGTATGATAGATGAACTTGTCCAAACAATTATTCTAGCAAACAGTCAGAAACTGACACTTCACCTATTCTATCATTTCCATTTAAATCTCTGTCGGTTTTTCTTGAAAGCATTCTGCATAAGCAACAGTTGAAATCTGCTGAGGAGACATGGGCAGCATGCAGAAGTGGAAGGAAGCCAAGCCGGCAGCCGATGTTAATGGAAATGATTAAAGCCCAGTGATGCACTGACTGAGAAAAGAGTCAGGGGAAGGAGAAGAAAGGCAAAATAGAGGGATCCCCCCTCTTCTGCATTTTTTTACTATCCAAACTGCAAGCTTTTGGTGATGAGGCTCCCCAAGGTGGAGGGGCACATGACGAAGAAAAGACATGCAGGTTACAGAAATTGAGGCATATGCTTCTGGAGAAAATCTGTCTGGGACTCATCAGGAGTATAGCAGCTGGAATATTTTTGTTAAACACAGAGAAATGTAATTTAAAACAGATGACGCTGATGCTCTTTATAAACACACATCTGTCACAAACAACTTAGGAATTGTGGTATAATTGCTCTGTGGTGCGGTGACAAGCAGAGATGGAGTTTCATGGTGGTCTCTGTGGCCACCTTAGTTCTGCTTTCTCTTTCCGTGTTGGAGGCTGAGTGATTGTTATGAGCAATGGTGCTGGAATGCCACTGTGGTCCAGAGGGGTTGCAGACAGATATAGGATGTTTTGGAGGAATAATAATTGGATTATTTGTAGAGGTCAAATCCCTCATTGACATCCTTTTATTACTCTGCCAACCTGCTGTGCTATAAATGAGACTGAGTGGAGCACACGACCATACATACTCACTCACAACAGCACCGCTACACACAAATCGCCACTATAGATCATCCTATGATGTATGGAAATTAAGAGACTGAAAAAAAAGAAGCAGATCTGCCTCCTGAGGCCAGAGCCTGACAGACAAGTGCGACTAGACTGATGGTGCCAGAGGCTGGGAACTGGAGACTTGTAATTGAAGAAATCCTGACGCTAACTCTCATCGGGCTGAGCACCTAATACATACTAAAAGAGCATGAAGGTCAGTGAATTGCAAGTTGTAGTGTGGACTGCTTTCACTGTATACGTTTAACCTGAGGCTGGCCAAACTACAAGTAGAAAACTAATGCTTTAACCACATATTAAAGAAACATCTCAATATGGCTGATTCCCCACATTACTTCTTAATGACTCCTTGGGGCCAAAGGCCTTGAACAGAAACTGAACCAAAACACCTTTTCCTCCTTTGCAATATGAAATGTATGCAGACAAGTCTATTTAGTATTACACATAGCTCTCCAACTCAGCAGTGCGTCTGCTACTGAAAGGTGGTGTTTGAACATGTAAGAGCTGAAGTAGCCTGTTAGAGCACATTCATGTCTCTGTCTTTTTCTGACTTGAACATCAAGCTCAGAACCAAGTACAACGCGACAAACCACACTTATTGCCCAAACCTGACTGCTGTGTATTGTGAGGGTGTTTGGGATGAAGGACAAAAGAAGTAGGAGCAAGAGAGAAAGTGGAAATAGAGCATAACTGATATAACAAAAAACGGAAAGAGACAGAGTCAGAGAAAGAAAGATAGAGAAAGTCACAGGGAGATATTGACAGACATAAAAAGACACAGATAGATACATAGAGAATGACAGACAGTCGCAGCACACAAGGACTGCTTCTCAATGTCAAGAAAATGATTGTAATGCTGAAAAGAAGAGAGAGGGGCAGAAATTAGAAGACAGACATAAAGGAACCCTGAAGTAAGCTCCAGTTTTGCTTCCATGAGAGACGCCGGGGTTGGTGATGGGGGGAACGAAAGCTGTGTCACATACAGTCAAAAGACAGCGGCTTCTGCAACAGCAGCGCAAATCATTACTGCTACCTCTATCAAACCTTGTTTTCATGCTCAAGTAAGCTCTTTGGTTAGCGTCTATGGATGTAACACATCCCTTTCAGTGTGTCTCCAGGCTTCCCGAATGGCTGTCAGACCTGATGAAAAGGAAGCCACACATGGTTTACAAAGACGAAATGGGATTTGTGCGTCTGAATACTAGATGCGAAGAGATGAGACACTTAGTGTATGCATCTAATAATGGCAAAGGCGCACAGGGAAAGAGGAAGATAGAGAGAGGGCAAAGCATATATAGATACAAAAATATACTCAGTGTGTGGCCATCATGTACGGAGGTGGAAAAAGCTTGAAGAGAGATCCAGGGTGTGTGCTCTCTATTGATCTGGCCCTTTCACTTATGTGTCATGGCCATGGGCTTGTGGACAGAGTTGGGAAGAAAATCAAACACTCAACAGGAGCATCATTATCCGCAGATTATAAGAACAAAACCAGGAGGGGTCCTTATGAGGAAGAGTCCAAACAATAGTCACATATTTCATCCTCAGTCTGTTTCTCTTCTCCTCACTCTTCCCTTCAATCCCTCCTGCTGGGAATTGAGCAGTGGGTAAAACCATCTTTGCAGCAACAGGAAACATGCGGTGACAGTGCACACACTGCTGCTTCCTCCTGAGAGTTGCCCATGGAAATATGAACAAAGAATATAAGAGAGTCTGCTCTGACCACCCGGTCTGTCCCTGCCCGTTTGTTACCTTTTCCATACAATGTTCCCAACACTGACCATACTCAGGGCCATGTGGGAGCGTCTGTCAATGCGTGATCGTGTGCATGATCTCGCATCTAATTCAAATGAAAACAGTAACTGTGATGTAAAGCAACTCAAAAACCTTAACTACTGTACATAAAAACTCTTGAATCTATTGTTATTCATCTTAGCAGTATTCATGACCTGAAGTATTCTCTTGAAAAATAAAGTTATATCTCTTGTCATTGTGCAACAGGAAAAGATTAATGTTGGTATCAAACCGCAGTGCAGAAGCGCAGAGTGTAGCATAGATCAAACATTGAACTGGTAAGATACACTGCATGTTTACAGAATCAACAAGCATCTAAAACATGAATAATCTCCAGAGAGTAACAAAAGTAGAAAGGTAAGAGGAAACCTCAAAGTAAGACAAAGGAATACGGAAGAAGAATGCTCCATTTCTGTCGAGGTAAGAACATCGAATAGAAGCCAGCCTGCTTTTCATTAAGCTCTCTAAAGCACATCCTATAATGCCTGGATCTATCATTACTGTTCAAGTGCAATCATGAAAAGCAAGCAAAGAAAATAACATCTAATACAAATTGTTTATTTGTGTTAAAAGATTATAACTTAATAGAAATGATGATGTACACTAACTGACTATATTCTTGTGATGGATTTAATCATTTTGTTTATGTGCAGTCTTTGCTCTAAGGTTTCTTTGGATGTGCTCAGGTAAACATTCTTTATTTAGTCTGTTCGCCAATGGACCTCAGGGGTTACACTTAACGAGTTGAAATGACGCATGTGATAAGGTTCATGATATCAGTAGTTTATAAGGCTGGACATCCCACACAGCTCATTATTTTTTCATTAGGCTCACCTTTCCCATCATGTACCATTACAATTTCCAGTATCATCACTATTGTTTATGTCAGGCCAATTTGCTTAATGGCCAACATAAAACAAGCGGCCAAAGTATCCTTTCAAAATATCTAAAATATTCAATTTTAATAGCTTGTTTAGTTGCCTTAACAACATGTGGAACAGAAAATAAAACAAGCTTTTCTTCATTTAACTCAAAGCTAAAGAGAATGGCTTTTCTTTTTTTAAGTTTCAGACAGAGAGAAGGGGTAAGTGTCTTGTTTGTTAATTGCTCAAAGAATAGTCTAACTATTTTATTTTTAATTCTATTTTGTAAGACCAGTTGGTAAAACACCGGGGATGTTGACAGGAAGGAGATAGAACACCTGCAAATTTAATTTGACACCAGCAGGCCAGGAAACCAAAATAACAGCAATAATCACACTGTGATAACATCTCGCAGACAGCAGGTGGTAGAGGAAATGTTAAAATTATCAAGAAGTGTGGTTGTTACTTGATAATTAGAGTGGGGATCATTGCATGCTTAATCATTTGTAATAAAACCTCATACGAAGTGTTCATTGTGTAGGTTTGAACATATGTGTTATAATGTATACCTCTGCTAGATCGGTCTACATGGTCCAGGTCTTCAACAAACGAGATCGCATCTGGAAACTCCTCCTCACATACTTGCGCCAGGAAATGGAGTAATGTGGTTGTTTGGTCCGCTGACTTAGTATCCTTTAGCTGTAACACAAAAGAAAATACACAAACATATAAAATAAACACATAAACCTGTAACAGTAACAAAAAAAAAATATATGTATTTTATTTCACTTTATCTTGTCTCAATACTCTATAAAAGTGCTTATTCTGGGGACAAGCTGATAGCATTTTTTTTTTTTGCACTTGTACCTTAGACTTGCCTTGTTTTTTAAAATGTCTAAGGAGTCCATGGTGACATTCAGTGCTGTGCTTTGCTGTTATTTTCTGCATGGACAATTCTGTTCAAATGACATTGTTATTGCAGTCTGCCAGAGTGGCGGTGTTACACTGTAGGGAACTACAGACAAGGTAAACAAACCCGCGCTGTAGCCTGAAGACGGCATGTTGTTGTTGGTATTAAAGCGTAAGGACCCCACAAGGATCTAACTGGACTGAAGTGACATTTGCAAGTACATTTATATGTTGCTAATGTTCTCCAGCTGAGCAGATCTAGCCTGCAATCTTTCGTTAGCAGTGCACTTTTCCCCGGTGAATGTTTGTTTGGTCACTTGTTCAACATGCAATGGTGCAACAACAGCTGTGTTTATGTTGCAGGCAAGATAAGGAGACTTTAGCAGGAAAACGTATGTGGGTTTTTGTTCAGAGTCTGTAGCATAGCAGGCAGCTGTCTAGCTCACTGTATCTTTCTACTCTGCTTATTATAGAAAAATGACCACTTTATTCAAGATTTGATTGCCTATTTGGAAATAATGTCTCCATACATGTATATGAAAACCGGAGCAGTATTATTTATCATCATTAAACAAAAATAATAATGAAAATATTTTTTCTCCGTTTGGTTTCTGTTTTATTTTTCAAAATAGAATACTACTATCACTATATATATGCTGTAACAGACACATATTTTTCTGCAACAGTCAAAAATTACCCAGAGATTGTGTTCTATAACAGATTGCTATGTGTCTCTGTGCTTCATTCAGCTACCATAATCCCTTTCAGTAGTTTACAGAGGATTCTAAAGATGGTTTAATGTCTCGTGCAGCAGAGTACACACATATTCACAATGAAATGACCTCTCCTGCTCTTTGTGCCTCTCTCGTTCCCCTCAAAAAGAAACCATTTTTCAATTTCTCTGATAAATTTCCATCATCTCTGTTTTGCAGTCCAATTCAAAGATGTCTCTCAATATCCCAGCCAAACATCCCTCCTGTGGTGTGCGTTGCTGTGTATCTCTCTAGGTGATCTATTGGTAGACAGCAGCATGCTCAGCCCTGCTGGGTTTAATCATGTTTGTATTATCTCTTCTAATCAAACATTCTCATCTCTTTTTTCATTTCCGTTCTCCCATTTTTTTTTTAAATCTTCAAGTGCTGGCTCACAAAAGGTCCCTCTCTGAATTTAGATGGATGGTAATCATAGTTGACAATGTAAACATTTTGCTTTTTCCAGATGGGCCGGGTGCAATTCTCCTGTGCTGTGGAGTGTGCCGTGGAATTAAGTTGTCAAACTCAGGGGCAGGCACAAAGGTGATGTATTCCTCTGCATATCCTGTCTCTGACATTGACGCCCATCTTAGTCCCACCACATACCGGCATGACGATAAGCAAGACACACTGGAACAGCAGCTTAACAGTGCGAAAATACAAAACATATTCCTTCATAGACTGTTATTAATTGACTAAATAAGTGTCACGTTAATGAAACTAATCCATCATGTGTATGAATGCAAGTTTGTGTACGTACATACACGGGTGTTTATGAGCATTAGCACCCAAGTATAACAGGGCAGAGAGGTGGCAGTGATGAATGGCTGCAGTGGTTGTTACTGTGGAAACTGCAATGAATGTGTGCCAACAGCTGTAATGTAACCGCTGGAGAAGTCTCCAGTTTAAGGATTACACTCTGTTCTCCCCGTAACTGTCATACGGGAAAATGTACTGTTCAGTCCTCTTGCCACATAAAATCTAAAAGGTACATTTATTTGCTATTTTTCTGCCACACGAAGCCCAGTTTGTCCTGCAGGGTGTGAGAGCTTTCAAAGGGATACACGCCGTAGCCTCAGTTATCTAGTCAGAGCAGAATAAGAATAAAGCGCTCCCTGGGTTTGGCTGCTTTGATAGATTTTAGTAGATTTTAGTAGATTAAGAAGAAAAAAGTGTTTATTGTGCTTGATAGTGAGGAATGATAGCAGAGATGGAGTACTTGAGTCCTGGACTCGGACTCGAGTCGGACTCCAGTGTCGATTTTCGGGACTCGTGACTCGACTCGGACTCGCGCACTGATTGACGCGGACTTGGACTCGTGAATTCTCGCGCACGATGACTTGGACTCGTGAATTCTCGCGCACGATGACTTGGACTCGGACTCGGACTTGTGAATTCTTGCGTATGATGACTAGGACTCGGACTCGTGAATTTTCCCCCCCACGATGACTCGGACTCGACTTGTACATTGACGCTCCGACTTGGACTCGGACTCGAGCAAGTTTTCTCTGGAGTCTGATGTCCTCTATCCTGGAGAGTTCACGAACTGGGCCCCGCTATTCCAGTCTAAAGATGTCTAGAGACACACCCCGCATCGTGCTGTATGCTTTCACACATTCTGCTTCCACATTGGAAAAGAGCAGTGCAAAATGCTTGTTATGTGGAAAAAATATTGAAGAGAAGGCTCTGTAACACATTACTCTAAGGATCGAGTTCAGACATATAGGCTGTCTTGAACACTATCATCAGAGTAACGTGATCTAATCAATAAATAAAGATTCAGCCGATAACACAAAAGCACGTCATTTTGCATGCTAAGTAGCCATGTGCTTTCTGGGGCTCAATCTTCATCCTTAACCGGTAAAAGTTCCTTCAAAATAAGAGTCCCGATCTTATTACTATCAAAATAAAAGTGCAAAACGAAAACTTTACCATAGGAAAATATTGGCATACAAATATAATCACTTCTCTAAAAGGTAACTCATTTTAAATATAGTTAGACATATTATAGGTAATTTACAATTATAATAATAATAATATTAATATTAGTAATACGCTTTATATTTGTATAGTACTATTACAAGAATTGTAGCCAAACTCGCTTCACAGCAGTTCAATAGACACATTAGTATAACATGACAGGATGAAAGCAATGTAGAGGAGCAGCTACATTTCAACACATATATCCACGAAGATTAATACATGAAGACTTGTGACTCGGACTTGACTTGGACTCTTCTTGGGTGACTCGGACTTGGACTCGAACACAGGTAATGATGACTCGGACTCGGACTCGACTCGGACACTCCTTGGGTGACTCGGACTTGGACTCGGACTCGAACACAGGTAATGATGACTCGGACTCGGACTCGACTCGGACACTCCTTGGGTGACTCGGACTTGGACTCGGACTCGACTACGACTCTCCCTTGGTGACTCGGACTTGGACTCGGACTCGAAGAGTGGGGACTCGAGAGTGACTTGGACGCGTGAATTGGTGACTTGACTACAACACTGGATGATAGTGATCAATCAAACTAAAGAGTTTCAAACAAAATGTCTAATAACAGAACCATTAAAGATAAGTATGCCATGCTGATAGGGTCAGCCAAGGTAAAAGACAAAAAAACACGTACTCTTGTATAGCTTACATGAGGGTAACACCTTTAAACATGCAGCCACACACACACAAACACAAATTACCCAAGAGTACAATCCCCACAAACACACACCTAGAATTTTTCTAACGACTAATTGTATATTTTTAAAGTTTGTTTGTCTCCAAAATAATAGGCTAAACACAAACAAATGTAATTCAATGTTTATATTGTGAATGGCCATTTCAACATGGGGTTTTTCATTAAATGTATAATAATGAGAATTTTGAAGAATCTAACTGTTCAGTGTGTATTTGTTCTGCTTACCAAACTTGGATTTAATGTGGTCATTGTTGCAGTTTTAAAAATAATATATAGTTGTAAGTGCAACTGAACCTCGGTGTAAAAATCTGTAAAAAAGGCTTTTGTATTGAGATTTTCTTCCTGAAACACGCATCACTCATGGTGAACCGCTACCGATGGAGGGATTAAGGACTACATACTGTAGGTTAACTGTTGTTGTTAAGGTCAGCATTTTAACCCTCACCTTGCAGAGGGAGCTGAGGTCGAAGCCATATGATTGGGCGTTGCGAGAGCCTGCATTCATGTAATTTCCCAGCAGCAGAACCAGCTCCAGCAAGCGTCCGAAAGAGCGGCTCTTCCTGACCTCGTCACACGCAGCGTTCACTGCCAGGATGTCTGGACGGATGTTGTTAACCTGCTCCTCAAACTGCAGCCGGAAGAGAATGTTGCTGAGACGAGGACGCAGCCGCTTCACACTGCTCATCTGGAAGAGGAAAAGAGAGATAAAGGATACAAAAAAAGTATGCAAAAGCAAAAAAAAAGAATAATATTAAAATGAAAATACGGTAATAGAAAAGAGAATAAAGGAAAACTAAAGGAAATGATGTTAAAAAAGTGGGAACAAAATCAGAGAACAGAGACAAACTTTAAATAACTACAATAACACGTTTGGCACACTCTCACATTAGGCCTATCTAATTTAAAATACATTTATGCAACCGCCATACTGAAAAGTGTTGCTAGGCAGTAGTAATAGATGCTGGCACTGATTTGATTTGGGACCCAGGTCTGGTAAGTTGATTGTGGAGTTAGTGTCCATATAGGGCAGGCAGCGGAGGGGGTGGAATATACAATAGGCTGCCTTGGATTACCACTCTCACACAATTAGAGAAAATTGGAAAATATTGCATTGGGCCGAGGGTCTGGCCACAGCCATGAGTGTGTATGTGTGTGGGGGGGTGGGGGCGCAGGTTCCAATTGTCTGTTTCACACAACAGCTGGCTGTGCGGTTTGATGTCCTCCATCAAGGGTTTAATTATAGCTACTGTAATGTTATCAAATGACTATTTCAGTCGGTGAGTGAGCGTATGTGTGTGTGTGTGTGTGTGTGTGTGTGTGTGTGTGTGTGTGTGTGTGCACAAGTTTGTATGAGAGAAATAGAAAAGAAAGACACGTAGAATAATATGACAAAATGAAGAAGGACCAAGGTGCACAAGAACCAAACATAATGCTGAAAGGGAGCCCAGAGATGGGATACATTATGTGATAAGGATATTGAAGTGGGTCGAACGTAATCAATAGGAGGAGAAAGAAAGCAGAATGCGGCCTTCAGAGTGAATGTCTGCAGCTGCTTGTTAAAGGCTACAGAGGCCATTCTACAAAACTGAGCTCCTGCAGGGTCGTATTTAAAAGAGAAGGGGTGGGGTTCAAAGTTCTTCAAACATAAAAAATGGACTGTGAAGATGATGTTATATAAATGATTGCTTCATTGCAAACCTATTGAGATGTGGGATGGTGAGAGAGAAAAGTCTAAGGTTGGTCGGATTGATCACCCACCAATCATTATTGGTCTGTATAACAGCCGGTCAGATGATGCATTGATTCTGAAATTGAAATATGTAATACCAATGTTCCTGCTTTCTCCCATGTTCTTGTATTGTCTCTAAAATAATCTAAGTAGCGCGGCAGGCTCGGCGTCTCTTGTCTTTTTTTTTTCCGTGAGCCAAGGGTCACTACCATTTGTGATAGTATTTTTTTTAAACACGTATTTATTTCACACATTTTTGTGTTTTGTCTAAACAAGAAGCCAGAGAGACACGGCAACAGAAAAGCATAGGCAGCCTAAAACCCACCGTATAAACAGCGCAGAGTAGCAGAATCGCTTGTTGAACGGCGTGGAATAAAAAAATGTAAATAGACTCCTGATCTGTAATCATATTAGTCGATACTGTTTTAAGCGATCTGCACCAAAAATCCTGGTCTGAGCAGCCTAACAGTGCATTTACTCTATGTTGGGGAAATATTTTCCAAGGCCCATAACTTTGACCCAGTTTATCAGTTCATACTGTCCTGACTGAGCACACGCACTGTAACCTTGCTCTCAGTGTGTTGTCTCCCTGTTCCTGCCTGTTGGCGTCAGCTGATAGAGGTGTTATGATTCTATCTTGTTATGCACAATGTTGATTATTCTCTCTGAACTAGCTAAATACACGGGTCTGGGGTAGAGTTCTTCAGAATTTACGTGGCAACTCTACCGTGAAGTCAGAACCTCTGACTCTTTGACTTGTTTTGTGAATTCTCCGGCCGAGGCTCCTAAATAAACCATCAGTGTTTGACATCAAAGCTCCAGCTCTCCCCGTGTCTCCTTCATGAGTCGGTGACTCCTCCTGCATTGCTACACAGAAGTTTCCCCAACACTCTACATTCCTCTCATGTGATCAAAAGTTTTAAAATCATGAACCATAAAGTGTAAAAGCAAATGAATCTGAGTAAATATTTTGGTAAATACATGTATTTGTGGAGCCTCACCAACAATGTTGATGAAAAACCTTCATTCAAAGACATGCCAGTCATAGGGACCGTTACCGCAGGTGAGCCAGCAGCATGATCACGCTGGAAAACACTCTTTGGATTTGAGTCTGTAAATCATCAACCACAACTGATGCACAGCAATTGTACTGTATAACATTGACTATGCATGAAGAATCTAAACTTATTGTATGGAGATGGATGTACATAATTACTCTGTTGTAAGATCAAGGGCTTTGTTTGCTTCTTTCCTGACTTCTTGTCAGAAAGAAACATTAAACTTGTTCATATACTACAGCAGCTGCACAAAAAAACAACATATATATTAACCTAGTGACTAAGGCAATGTAAGAATCGTAACAATGCAATTAGATAGTTTCCTATTTAATGCTACTATAAGCAAGGTTAAGTTCAAATCAAGTATGAGAGTGGCAGACATGGAACCAGAAGAGATAAAATGCATGCGTTTGCACAATTAAAAATTCCCTTTGAACCGGGCCTTTCTGATAGGTGAAAGCACACAGGCCTCCTTGGGCCCACGCAGGCACAGCAGCGATACAACATTATATAAACAGGCCCCTCTTTGTTCTACGTCTCCCTGATGAACACTAAACAACAGCTGAGCATGCTCTATTTTTCTCCCCCTCCCCTCCCAATCAACCTCTCAGTCACTGCGTTTTCAGTCAGTGATAAGATTCTCTTTCATGCGTGTATGCTAAACAGGTGGGTGCTTTGGTGCAGAAGTAGATGAAGATTATTTTATGTTTTTATCATTAACTTGGTTGCTAGGCAGAAACACAAAACACACAAAAAGGGCTACGCTTCTCATGAATAATTTAAAATAAACCTCCTTTGAAAAGACTTTAAGAAAACGATGCAGACGTAATTAGGCAGCAGTGCTTCTCTTTAATGTGCATAAATTAGTGCTGCAGTCTACAGGTGTCCTCTTACGGCTTAAAAAGATTTAAAAAAGCTTGGGATTAGGATATTCATATGTAAGTGCTCCGTTTGTGTGTGTGTGTGTTTCCAGGAAATCAAAAGAAAGGAAGAGATAGGAGGCAAATACAAGACAATTTACATGAATATGACATTTACATAGTTATAAACCAGCTCCATACAACTCTGTTGCTTCATTTTACACACAGTTAATATTAAAGATCCTGCATGAACAAAAACACTTCAATATAACGCAAAATAAGTTTTGTATTTAGATATATGTCCTATGTTTACATGCTGTGAGAGCTAAGCAGCTGGTGGGGAAGCTAAAGTACACTTCTTCTTCTTGTGTTGTGTATTGCAAATTGTGTGAGTGTGAGTGTGAGTGTGAGTGTGAGTGTGAGTGTGAGTGTGTGTGTGTACTTACCACAACCCCAAACTGCTCAGGCTCTGACAAATTGGCGTACTCGTTTTTAAACTTGGCCAAGGCGTTCAGCTGCTCTTGTTCAGGTAGGTGCTTCACAAGGTTCTACAAAAAAGAGAGAAGAAGAAAAGCAGTGAGAAGCAATATGGAGCAAAGCAGAGAAAAGCAACTGGTTATTCATCAAATGTTGAAGAAAAGCCTTGCGTTGGTCGTTTCATGATGCCTGAGACACTTAGGTATAATAATTGTAGTTGGTGTGGCATTATACCCTTCTTATTTCATCTTTTAATGTCTTAACCATGTAGAAAATGAAATGATCTAAAGTTTTTATGAAACTCTTTGCCATTGGGGGATTGTCTGTAATGTATTTCTGGCTCTCACAGCAATGTGGTTGCCTGCAGTCCATGCCTCCAGAGCAATTTGGTGTTTTCTCTAAATTTAATTAAAAGAGCCCTAGGACTACAACTTTGTAGTGCGCTGTCTTGTTAGAAAATCAAACCTACTGCTGTTTGACTGGCTGCATATTTGGATGCGTGTCAGGTCTTTTACTTTCAATACAAATAAAGTTTTGTGACTCCAATTAAATGTGTGTTACTATCAAGCAGGAGACTATATCCTTAAGGCTATTTATACGTAAAATGAACGTGATTGGGTTTTTTAGACATCCAAAAGGAATACATGGTCAATTATTTAAGCCATGTCGATTAAATTGCCTTCTCTGAATGTAACAGCCATCTCAACAAATACTGCTACCATGAGGTAAATATGTTGGTCTGATGCATTCAAACTCGGCTGAAAATCAGTTTCAAACGCCTGAAGTAAAAACAAATATTGCCACTTTGAATACCTGAGTTAAATGGCACTTTATTTAATCAATTTTAATTATCTGCAGGTTGTAATTAACAATTATTGATCAAATTAATACTATAATTTGACATCCGTAGTTAATGTTTGTTTTGGTTCATTATTTTTAGCTGACGGTTCAGTTAATCAATCTAAAAGCTTTATAGGCATTCCTTAACTTCCTCTTATTCAACCTTTTCAATTATTGGTACGGCTGATTTAAAGTTAGCTTGAAGAATTTACACTGTATGCTTGATTTTAGTATAGTAGAGTATGTTGGGGAAATATTTTCCTTGGCCCATAACTTTGACCCAGTTTAACAGTTTGTACTGCCCAACCTTGGCTGCTGTGCTCTGTGTGTTGTCTCCCTGTTCCTGCCTGTTGGCGTCAGCTGATAGAGGTGTTATGGTTTTATCTTGTTATGCACAATGTTCATTATTCTCTCAGAACCAGCTAAATACATGCGTATGGGGTAGAGATATTCAGAATTGGTTTGGCATTGGCTGTGTCAACTCGTGGCCCAGCACGTCTTGTGAATTCTCCGGCCGAAGCTCCAAATAAACCATCAGTGTTTGCCATCAAAGTTCCTGCTCTCCTCGTGTCTCTCTGAGTCCTGTCTCCATTGCTTCAGAAGTTCCCACCACAGAGTGTAGTATAGTAGAGTATAGTTTCCCCTTGTGGGATTTATAAATTCTCCTTCTTCTATTGCAATTAAATTGCGATAATTCCCTTTTGGCATGACTGCCCAGGAAGTCAATAGAGGCCTCCAGCTTGTAGAAACTCCTGCTGCCATAGAACTGACACAGGCTACAAAACATGAGCGCAGTTCCTCAAATCATCTGACACTGTTGACCCTCTCTGTCCTTACACTACTGTTAGTAGCCTAAGGTTTGCTGACCAGTTGTTGCCCACTGTTCCCAGGGTCAAGCTGCAGAAAGAGGGTAAAAGTGCATTTGCTGTTTGTGCTCAAAACGTCTGTGACAGTCTCCCCTCGAAAATCAGCCAAGTAAACTCAGTTTCTTAGTATTTAACTCTAAAACATATTTTCACTGATTGTGTTTTTATAAAAAAATGTCGGTTCATTAACATGGAGTCTCTTCTAACCCATTCATCATTAATTCATGTTTTTATGCAAGTATTTATTTTTTCATTAGTATATTATGCAAATCCATGCTGTTATCACAACATTAAATACACACAAATGTATAAATATGAACATGAAATGAAATAATTGTCAAACATAACAAATCTGACAGTAAGCGTGCCTGAAAAAAATAGATAAGTAATAAATAATAAGAGTCCAAAATGCAGTAGTTTACTGTACCTTAAACTTGAGCCTAACCAAAGAGCACTGAAATGATCAGTCGATATTACTAAATCCACGTATGGGGGACAAAAGGTACAAATGCAGAGACAGTTTGGCAGATATTTAGCAAACGGCATCACGTGGTTTCTCACTCATTGCACCTTCCTCCTACTTGCTTTACCTAGCCTGGCAAAAGCTAAAATAAGTCACAATAGTTAGTCTCGCAAAAATCGATTTAAAAATGAAGGCTGGAAGAAAGACACACATTACCTACTGAGCAGGAGTGCACTTAAGGTACACTCCCAGCCTTGTGGTAAAGAGCCCCACAATGTAAGTTGAGAGAGGTTTCAATATTGATACTCGAGCTATGTACATGTACATCTAATTAGAGTTAGGAGGTCAGTACAAGAAGGACATCTACTTAGTTTAAAGCTCTGATTATCTTTATAAATGTATGCACTGTGCTACCTGGATCATTGGTTCAGTGAGTTGCTCCTCATCCACTTCCACTATCATCCGACAAATTTCCTGATAAGGCATACGGAAGGAACCCAGGAAGATGGCTACAAAGAAACAATCAAAAGATGAAGCAAATGCTGGGATTAATCAAATATTGATTCACCAGTTATGAACAACATTGTTGCACTTACAGGCAATCGATCATACTTATCAATTATGTGAATTGAAACATACAAAGAATAGTGTGAAATATAAAAAATAACAGCTCAAGGTCACATAAAGGACATTAAGTAGTAACTAAAAGAGAAAGCTAAATCAAAAATCATAAACAAGTCAGAAAAGTAAAATGATACTGATCATCAAGCAAGGGGTACCACTTGGGACTGAATGGTGAATGTCTTGTCAGGAGAAGTCGTTAGTCCTGCCAGGGGTACCATGAGGAATACTGTATCAGGGCAGTTCAAAGATGTGTGACTCGGCTAGGTGTCTTATAATGCAGAACCTTTAAGATTAATAGGAACATATGAAAGTAAAAACTGTGGTAAAATGAATATCAGGTCAGAGTTTGTAAGTGTTTTGTATCTGAAGTGTTTTAGACAACAAATGATCATGCTATAGAGTAGAACCAGAAATAACTCAACATTCTTTTTTAAAACAGGCCTCTTTTACTATATCAGTGTCAATATTCTGCAAAAGGTTTATGATACAGTTCTGGTTCTACTCTATTGTTATGCTATAGAGTAGAACCAGAACTAACACTACAAAAAAACAGGCTTCTTTTACGATCTCATTGTCAATATTATGTAACGTTTTAGGTACAATTTCAAAAAGTGGACTGACTACAGAAATACAAATAATTGTTAAACAAGTTACTGGTGACTCACAATGTGATGTGTGGGTACCTTTTTAGCAAAAATTAAATTCTAACTCACATGGCAAACTAATGCACTCGCATTAATAGTGACCATCAATCAAGAAACACAATTAAAACCCCACAAACTCATTCTCAACCTCAAAGCTTTTACACTCTTTACCTCCTATGGTGTAACACATAACGGGCCTACTCTCCTTTTTTTTTTTCTTTCCTCGTTCCCGTTCTATAATTTCCGCTGTGTGATTTATCACTGTTACTGGGCTGATTAGTCTCATTTTGCTTTAATACATGAAACAAAGGTCAAAGCTCCCCTTGATATAAGCCAATGAGGTGGTAAGATATGGGAGTGCTTAAGAGATCAGCTGGATCCTCATTAAAGCTGTGTGCTTTCAAAACGGTCATTTTAAGACCAAACATGGGACGTGCAAAGACGTAAGAGAGAGAGAGAGAGAGAGAGAGAGAGAGAGAGAGAGAGAGAGAGAGAGAGAGAAAGAGAGTGAGTGAGTGAGTGTGAGAGAGAGAGAGAGAGAAAGAGAGAGAAAGAAGGAAAGAAAGAGAGAGAGAAAAAAAAAGTTCTGTCTTATGATCAGAATTTAGCATTTAGTTAGATATTTTTTCCTCTGGTTTCTTTTTCCTTGATGGGTGCTTAACATAAAATAATTAATTATAATTAGCTCAGTGTTTTTGAAGACATGAGTCAGAGCTACTTGTGGCCAGGTGTTGTCTTGCTTTAATTGCTCAAGCAACATACAAAAGGTGGAACTCATTCCCTTCCAAAATGCTCCACTGGGGTCACTTCACGGCACGAAAAGAACATCTAATAAGGGCTACAGGAGGTGACTTATGAGAGATACAGGGGGAAAGTGAGTGCAAAGTCTGTTTCAAGGATCTGCGGAGGCTAAAGCAGAATTCATGCCCAGTACACAGTCAAATCTAGACACATGGAAGTGTATAAATCCAGTCCATGGGAGGAGGTTTGGGCCCAAGGGAAACAAATACTTACATAGATTTTGTGCAATCTTAGCATCGAGCACCTTGAGCTCTTTAATTCTCTTCTTTATAGATTTCTTATCCTCCAGATCCTCCTCTTCTTTTTTGGCTGACGAGGACAGAAACACTGAATTATTATTAACACACACACAAGGTAACATTTACACAAATGCACACACTTACTTTATTGCTGACAGATGTAGGACACAAACATTTAGATATCACGATGTACTTATATATTACTACATGAGGAAGGGGGGAAAGTGACTGTAATGTCGGGATTGTCCTTTTTGTTGTGATTACATATATTTCCAAATGAACACAGTCCACCATGACAGAATGCCAGAGAGGCATGGAAAAAGGGATTATGGAAATGTTGTGATGGCAGCAGGGACATATGTAGGTATGGGTGAGCAACGGCAGTTCCATAAACACAATGCTGCGTATACAATAATCAGGTTAGAGGTCAAGGTAAATCTATTCTGGGTCACATGGAGCCATGTAGGTGGGACTGTGATGGTGCTATTGGTAGATAGGAGAGGCGTCATGACGTCTGTATTACAAACAACAGGGAAACACGATATACACACTCAAACACACATCAAAAACACAAACCTCTCGAGCCACACTCACAAAGAGGAGTTCATGGTTGGTTTTAATTATTTAAGACACCAGATTAAGAGAACAAAATGTGCATCCCAGGAGTATGCTGGGTAATTGTCTGGTGCTGTAATTATGGTGTGGGGTGCGAGGAGAAATGAGGAGAAGTAAGGAGAGGAGAGGAGAAGAGGGAGTAGAAAGGGGAAAGAGGAAAGGAGAGGAGAGGAGTAGAAAGAAGAGGAGAGGGCGAGAGAATAGGAGAAGAGGAGAGGAGACGATTGAAGTGGAGGAAGAGGAGAGGATATTTCTACTGATCCACATGGGCCAGGTCTTGTTTCAGGGACCCTGTATCTAATTAAAAATGGAAAAGGTATGCTGGGAGCTCTCGCAGAAAAGAATGTTAGCATGTCCACAAACATGCACACCTACAGTGCAGCTGAGCGCACACAGCAACACACAAGCACAGCCACACACCGAGCTATCCTTGGACTTACTTGGCTCCTCAGTTGGAACACTCTCCTCACAGTCTTTGAACGTGTGAGAGGGGAAAACACAGAGGACAGACAGGGAGGACAATGGAAAATGCAGTCCATGGAGTGGAGAGAATGAAGAGACAAAAATACATTTTCACAAGAATGCACACTGTCCACTGCAGCGTGAAACACGAAGAGACACAATTAAGAAGAAAAAAGGCTAGAACAACTTTAAATAAAAAAGGGCTGAAAGAATAAACAAACTTGAGAAAAATAAAACACGACATCAAACAATTTATTTGACTAAAAGTGATCTTTGTCCATAACAACACGTAGACATGCATGGTGTATTTTTAATCTTAGCTAATATGAGAGCTAAAGTGATACATTATTTTCACTATAGGACAACATGTGATTTGTCATTTTTACTCATCAATAATAGTATGGGTTTCGGATGGTTGGTTCGACAAAACATACCATTTTAATATGTCACCTATGGAAAAAATGTGATGGGCAGTTTGTTACAATTTTCTTTAGTTTATTTTATAGGTCAAAGACTTCAACCATTAATCTAGAAGGTAATTGTCAGATTAATCCATAATGCCTTTTATTGCTGTTCCGGAGATGCATACATCACAATATTAAAGTTTCCATAGATGTTAGGCTTAATTTTGGCCAAATGCTTATAATAACAATAGACAAGACAGTAGATATAATGCAGCAATAAGAAATATCTTGGATTTGAATAATTAATTCAGTGTAAGCAGTATAGTCTCCAATACATTGATTATATTATCAACCAAGGGGAAAAATATTTGATCCTTAATATCTATTACCAAAAAAAAACGAGGTTCAAAGGGTTAGAACGACAGATAGAAAACTATTTTAACTGTCAACAGGAAAAAATAACAGCACATTTGTTTAAATATACTTGAAGGACAGCCATCAGTTTGCATCATCTTTCAATATTAAAGTAATCCTTCTATTTTATACAGCCTTCCATCTAGTAATGCTCATCAGATGCCATGTTCAATTATATGGCATGAACAACATCAATAAAAACCAGCATAAATAAGTGGAGTATTTATTCTAACGGGAATGTAATCTTGAATATGATGTTATTGGGTATTAGAATGCAATATAAGGAGCCGGCCTTTCGAAAGCCTCCAGTTTACTGCATTAAGATGTTGTATTGATCCACTCATCATAACTTATAGCTTCACAGAATCTCATTTATTACGCCAACACACACTGAATCACTCTCACACACACAAGAAACAGGCAGTAGCAGAGCATTAACCACCCTGTTTCAGTGTATATAAACATACTTGACTGGGTCTTATAATCCATGAATCATTCTCACGTATACTGCGAGGGCTGCATCCATCTCAATCGTACGTGAGATAGTGATAACAGAATATTGCACACACACACACACATAAAGGTACACTCTCTCACGACACGGCCCCAGGTGTTATCATTTAAATCAGCTAATTAGATTGCCCCCTTCCAACATCACCCCCAATCTCTGTGGCCTTAAAACAGCTCTTCTACAGGGGAGCCTGCTTATTATACATCAGCCAATTAAAATGTCCCACAGGGGGTCAGGGGTCACTGGTTAATCAATCAGAGGGAGAGGCGACGGTTGTAGTTATCAGATTGCGGAAGACCCAGGAAGTGCGAGAGATAAGGATACACTTACGAGTGCAGAGCAGTGGGGTGTCTGTGCCACATCACAGGTCGGACTGAAGACGCAGAGAGGTAAGGAACGTGGCAAAGGTATGGTAAAACTGCAATAGATATTTTAGTCTCTAATGGCAAACCCGCTGCTTGAGACTACAAAGTTGTATCAGTTAAGAAATACAAGGCTACGAGGAATAAAAAGATAGGTTACAAACGAAGCCATTGATAAAGCGGCAGTGAACATCAGATGATAGGATCAGATACCGCCGCGAGGGAAAGCAGGACTCTATCACAAGACAGGAGAGAGCAGGGCATTACAGAGAGACACCAACACTGAGGGAACAGACTGAGTTTAAAGGCCCGCTCTGCTCTGCCAGCAGACACGGTGCTAGCTGCCTGCCATCTGAGCACTTTTAAGTTAAGGTGTCTTAATGGAGGCCTGTGATAAATGTCAATTTGATGGCAAGACTGTGTAACAAGAAGGAGTAGAGATAAGGATGAATAATAGAGAGTGAAGGAGGATCTCAATTTTCTTTACCTAAGTGTAGTATCCTTCAGGGGAAAATGTAGTGTGAGTTATTCACACAGACAAACAAAAACTAAAAAAATCAATTCATGTCTTTTCTTGAATGATTCCGGAAATAAAAGAAAGGACATTTGTATTCTCTCCTTGAGAAAAAAAAAATGATGTTTAGCTGCAGGGGTCAGACAGGGACGCAAAGCTAGAGTTATCTTTGCCTCACACTTGTAATAATTATACGGTTTTGATCCAATCTCTGCCACATTATAAAGGCCCTTGACAAAAATATGACGTGTAAAATTGCACACACACACATTCTTCCCAAAAAGCAGCACTTCCCAAAAGGCAGTATCAGTGAATTGTGCCGTCAAAGCACTAAAGGGAATGGTGGATGAAATAAAACTGCTGTGAAAGAGCATGACTGATGCTCTACATGACAGGCAGGCCTCAGAGACAAGCAAGTAACACCTCAAATCCACCCCCCCACCCTTCACCCACACACATGCCAAAATCTTCTCCTCCATCTCTCCAGCCCAGTACACTCATACCAGCACTCCATCTTATCAGGATGGATTTCTAATCAGTGAAAATGCATTACTGTAACTGCCTTCTGTTTTGCACACACAGACACACGCACAATCCCAACACTTATGTCAAATGAAAAAAGCGATCACTCGATAACTAATACTAAAATCTAAGAAGTTATCAAGTGAAGTGAGGAACTGACAGCAGTGACAGGCAAGAAACGGACGGTATAGTGAGTGTGTTTATTCGGCCCGTCATTGAATCCAATATTCGTCCAACCAGCGTACTTCCTAGGGAGATATCACTCTTTACCGGCTTTCCTCTTGATAGGACTTCATTATTTATGGCATGTTGTAGGGATACGATCGTCTCCTCCTGAGAAGGCAGACACACGCACACACAGCGACGGGAGAGTTGAGAGGGCAGCAGTCTCAAAGGGTAATTAAATCACTGTGTTGTTTCCAATAGCCAATCAGGGCAGCCATGCAGGTAACGTTTAAATCACTGCTATTAGGGGAGTTTCTGTAGCAGGGATAATATGGAGGTCTCGCAACTCTGTGTGCAAACACCAGACACACATGTATATTACACACACACACACACACACCATTGCCTCAAGCTAAATCCACTATGAGACATCTGATGCGCAGGAGGGGGGTTGTCTGCAGCAAGTGAACAAATCCACCATTCCGACACATCTGTCAACTCTACAGTCAACAGAGGGGAGACGAACAGTCAGAGCAGCAGCGCGGCTTCACTGTTGACTCGCTGTATGGTTCTGATGCAGCTATGTCCTGGACTTCAGTCAGCCTGATAGGAAGCACAGGAGACATCCAGCAGCTATTGGACTCTACACACCTGCCCTCACCTTTCCCCTCTCTGCCTTATCAATGCGCACTCCACCATCCTGACTAGCACCGACATGACAGCCTGTGTGTTTGCACACGGACCAACCCCTCCCCCCACCCCGTCCGGAGGTGCGGGTGCCAGTGAGTACGAGACAGAGGGAGATCAGAGTAATGAAGTGTGGAGCTGTGTTGTGAGTGAGCTAATCAAAGCGAACCATGCAGGGCCACCTCTCCCTGTGATCCAGACTAGATGACCCAGGGCCATAATTAGTCTGAGACTTTCATTCTGATAGCAGCAAATTAACAGACTTCATTAAGCTTCTCTCTCCTCTCCTCTCCTTCTCTATCCCCGCTGTACCAAGATCCTTTTCTAAATCTGAAAGCACTAAATTGCTCCTGCGTGAGCATCAGCGTCTCCAACATAGCACTTGATTGCTCTTCACAAAGGAACTAACACACC